GAAGTACATTCTGAGTGAGTGAGTGAGTGAGTATGGATTTACACCATTTTAAGCAATATTCCAGCAATACATGGTGGGGGGACACCAGAAATGGGCTTCACACATTGTACCCATGTAGGGATTCGAACCCGGGTCTTCGGTGTGACGAGTGAACCACTAGGCTACTCCACTGACCCCTTAAGTACCTGGCACCAGTCCGATGATATGACAAAAAGAAGCAGAAAAAGAACTTTAATGGTTAGACATAGGCACTGGTCCGTTTGTCCGAGACAGGTGAAAATCTCAACAGTTTATTGTTTTCTCTTAGAATCTAGTTATTTTACATTATCACGAGTGCAAGGTGAGGTGAAATTGGGTTTAACGTTGCCTCCAAGATTATTGCACTTATATACGTGGGTGTGTGTGGCTGCTTGTACTAGTAAGGACTGATTCCGATTTATAGTGCTAGCCCACTGAGATATCATGCCGCAGTTTAACATGAATATCCCACTCAGACACAGTATACTGACTCCGAGCCGACCAGTCCTTGTTTTAGCCCCTTAATGCCGAGCGCCAGACAGGGTAACAACAAGTACCATCTTTTAACGTCTTTTGGTATGAAGCGGCCGGGGATTGAATCCCGGACCTTCCTCTCCCCGGGCGAACGCTCTACCACTAAACCACGGAGACGGTCCTATCACGAGTGTGAAATAAGCTGTGGACAAGTTGGAGATGACCCATGGTGTCTACCATGACTCAGTAGTGAGTGAGTGAGTATGGTTTTACGCCGCTTTTAACAATATTCCAGCAATATCACGACGGGGGACACCAGAAATGGGCTTCACACATTGTACCCATGTCGGGAATCGAACTCGGGTCTTCGGCGTGACGAGCGAACGCTTTATCCCCAAGGCTACCCAACCGCCCCTATATTAAGAAAGCAGTGCTTAACTTTGTTTCCAGATGTACAATCTTCAAATATATCCCTCCACCAGCCTATCAAATATCCGACACTTAGACCACACCATGTATATTACTTATGGATGAGCATTCTTGCATGATAAAAGAAATAAACACTTTTGGACCCCTTGGTTTCCTTCATTTAAATAAAATTTATTCATTCAGCTTTGTTTGTTTGTTTGGTTGTTGTTTAATGCCGCACTCAGCAATATTCCAGCTATATGACGGCGGTCTGTAAATAATCGAGTCTAGACCAGACGATCCAGTGATTGACATCATGAGCAGCGAGCCTGACAACCCGATCCCGTTAGTCGCCTTTTACGACAAGCATAGTCACCTTTTACGGAAAGCATGGGTTGCTTAAGACCTATTCTACCCCGAATCTCTCCTCCTGGTGATGAATGTTACATGTAAATATCGAAACTATCACACTCATAATAATAGGCTCTCGAACATTTCAACAAAACTTGGCACCGACTTGAAGCACCGGTCCAACACATTTGTTGGAAATTAGTTGGAAAAGCAAAGGTTGAAAGTTGAGTTTTAATACATATTTTTTTGATGACCTACAAATTTGAACCAAAATATTTATGAACCAACAAATAAAAAATGAAACGATGTTATTGCTACAGCAATATGCCTCAAAAATTCGTAGATAAATCAATGATGGTTGAGTGAGTGAGTGAGTGAGTATGGTTTACGCCGCTTTTAGCACTATTCAAGATATATCACGGCGAGGGACACCAGAAATGGGCTTCACACATTGTACCCATGTCGGGAATCGAACCCGGGTCTTTCGGCGTGACGAGCGAACGCTTTAACCACTAGGCTACCCGACCGCCCCCAATGATGGTTGAATAATAAATGGAAAGTAACTGAAAATATAAATTGGCAATTAAGAGGGTAAGAAGCACCAGCTAGACATAGCACTCTCAAACTTAACATGCATCAAGGCATTAGAAGCCTTCTTCCCCTGGCACACATCATACAAACATTCAAAAAACATGTTCATACCAAATGATAATTTATCTTTTGTTTTCAAAAATAGATGTCAAAAGATTAAATACATCATTTTTTTCTGAACGACATTGAAGATAGAAAACTTTGGCAATTCTCTTGAAAGATGACTCTGGAATATTAACATGATTAATGGTTAGATAAAAAATTATTAATTATAAATATTAGATTCATCATTTTTTTTCTCATTTCTAAGCACAAAGTATTCGCAGCGATTTTTAGATTTACACACCAATACCACACTTTATTAACATAATACTTTAGGACATGATAGATAGTTAAGTAGGTACAGGTAAATAGAGAGTGAGTGAGTGTATTGATTTTTACACCACTTTGAACAGTCGTTCAGTTTTTCATGCTGTTAGCTGAAAGTGAGAGGAAAGCCCTAAGTGACAAAAGTTTATGATGCTGACAAACCAAGGAACATATCAGCACAAATCTATGATACAAACACAGGATCCTTGCATGACTAAGGGAAGCAACTCTATATGCAAATACCAGTGCATCAGGTGACTTAACCACTCGTGCCCATTGTTTAACTGTTCAAGATCAGAGTAGTGATGGTATGGGAAAGATCTGGATATTATGATGAAAAAAATACCATATTCTCCGTAATAAGCGCCCACTCACCTAACCTGGCCCAGCTCCAATAACCGGCCCCTGACCAACGACTTGATGAATATTTGAGTGAGTGAGTAAGTTAGTAATGTTTTATGCCGCTTTTAGCAATACTCCAGCACTATCACAACAGGGGACACCTCAATTTGTAAGTACCGTATTCGACGCAATAAGCGCCCCGCTCTAATAAGCGCCCATGGCGATATTTGCTAATATATTGGCTCGTGAACAATCCTAATTAGCACCCCTTCCGATTGATCAATGTATTTATTTATTTATTTATTCTTGCATAATACATGTGTTATATGCATCCCTAATTATGTGAAATTAAATTCTGGAAAAATACATCTGTCGTATTTAAACATTTCAGGCTGTCAGCATAAACCACGAAATTTACGATCTTTCAACTCTGTTGTTTTTCACCAAGATAATATTCTAATAAGAGCCCCCTATTTCTTATTTTGAGAGCGCCCTGGGCGCTTATTATGTCGAATACGGTAATCTTAATAAATACCCTCTACAAGACCGAAAATGTAAACGTGTGTACAGCTGATTGCTGTTTCCAGCTTAGTTTACGAAAAATTACACAAGGTAATCTTAATCCCTTGATGTAATACAATGTCTAGCAGGACAAAAAAATACAATTTAAACGGTAAATCAACATGTCTGGTGATTTTTTATCTCAAATTTCAAATTTGTACTGACCAAGTTTCTTATCACCTGTTTGTTTACCGGAATTCGCTGAAGGGGTACGGTGTATATTTTTCTGTGTATAATATCCAAAAAATAATTCTTAAAAATAGAGGGGGTGCGCATTATACTTGAGTGCGCACGATAATCAAGAAAAAACGGTACATCAAAGCACATATCATTTTGTCTATAGTACAGATTTGTTTTCAAAAACAGCATCGTAGAAGATTAGCCCTATAACTACCGGATTCGGTAATATCGAAAAAGTTTCAGTTTCAGCAACGTCTCAACAAAGTTTGTTTACTACCCATCGATCTCTGACAACAAATTTAACTAATACGGATTTAATAAGTGCCCTTGCTCAATTTCTAATCCCTCAGTGCCCTTACAACGGCAAATACGGTAATCCATTTTTGGCCCACATCTTCCAGCTGCATTCAAACAAGCAGTTGAAAACAAAAACAGGGGAGGTTACTCCATCTCTTCATGCTTGACTCAAGCGCAAAGTGTGCAATGGTACAGTTACTTCCTTTTACTGACTGTAATCCAGATTTCATCAACAGGATGTGTAACAAGGCCAAATTCTGGTTTCACAACTTGACCTTCAACTAAGTTGACCTTGAACTTGCGAATGAGTGTTGCCAAGCACATTGTGGTTTCTACGTAAGCAAATCTATACCCTGGACAGATTCTTTTCCCAGCAAAGCCGAATGGTGAAAATGCCAGGGAAGGTCGACCTTTACTTTGTTCTGTTGAGAGTCGATCAGGGTCAAACCTGGACACAAATTGAAACAGCAGACGTCAAATAAATATCAAATAAAATATATAAAATAATCCTCAGTCTGGCAATTTGAGAGGAGAAGGGAGGTGAAATAGGGTTTAAAATTGCATTCAAGATTATTGCACTTCCCCTTGCCACCCACACCACTGATGATACTCAGAAATTACTAGAATTGTTTGTTTGTTTGTTTGTTTGTTGTTTAACGCCGCACTCAGCAGTATTCCAGCTATATGACGGCAGTCTGTAAGTAATCGAGTCTGGACCAGACAATCCAGTGATTGACACCATGAGCATCAATCCACGCAATTGGGATACTAGAATGAATTAGTATTGTACTGATTTGTAGAATTCAGTTTTTCATAGACTCACATATAAGACTCATACAGAATTCTGGATGCTGAGGACTTCCAACTTGTTTGTTTTGTTAGTTGTTTAGCACCACACTCAGCAATATTCCAGTTATATAATTTATATTGCGAGCAATAATCCATGCTGTCGAGATACGATGAGATGCAATCAATCAAGTCATGAGCCTGACCACAGGATCCATTAAGGTCCCTCTTACAACCAGCATGGTGGTTGCGTGGTTGCGTGGTTGCGTGGTTGCGTGCGTGCGTGCGTGCGTGAGTGAGTGAGTGAGTGAGCACATCACATGAATCAGGTTCGTAATTTCAGAATTTCTGTTTGATTTCAAACTCATGAAAACTTAGCCAAGAAGATGAGATATGCTTTATTTTCAAAAGCTCAAAATACCAGTATTTTTTATACATATTGTGATATGTAATGATCAGTATTTCAAATTGCTGTATGCCAATGTACAGGTAATACCGCAAACCTCTAACAACCATGAGGTACAGGGGATGGACCCAGAATCCCCACAAGCTAACGTAAACACCAGGCTAACTCACTTGTTGGGCAGAGGCCACACTGTCTCATCCTGGAGCATCACACCGAGGGCATGGATCACGGGAGTCTGCAAATGAAGGGTATTTGCTCAACTGGATTCATATGTTGTTGTTATAATGATAATATTTGTTTGTTTCCTGTTGTTTAACGCCGCACTCAGCAATATTCCAGCTGCATGCCGGCGGTCTGTAAATAATCGAGGCTGGACCAGACAATCCAGTGATTGACATCATGAGCATCGATCCACACAATTGGGATACGAAGACATGCATCATCAAACAAGTAAGTGTGCCTTAATAATAATAATACATGTAATAATAATAATAATAATGGTTGGTTGGTTGTGTTGTTGTTTAACGCCGCACTCAGCAATATTCCAGCTATATGACGGCGGTCTGTAAATTATCAAGTCTGAACCAGACGATCAAGTGATTGACATCATGAGCATCGATCCACGCAATAGGGATTGATGACATGCATCAACCATGTCAGCAAGCCTGACCACCCGATCCCGTTAGTCGCCTCTTACTACTATTAATAATAATCATCATCATCATAATCAGGACAAGTTGGGTTGTAGAAAATTTTCAAGGCCTGTATCAATATATATCGTGGTTACCAGAAAGACAATTACAACGTTCAGCTAAATTCAGTCCAGTACACTAGCATCATTCCCAGCAACTGTTTGTACACGTAAACCTACTTCCCATAGTCATAGATAACATGAGAAATACACAATAATCAAAACCTGGTGAAAATGTATCTTAAACACTTCAATACACAACAAATCATGACGAATCGTAAAATGAAACAAATCAATTATTTGAAACCGAAAATTTCTTGAATTTATTTCCCGACCTACCAACCTGAATTTGTGATCCCACAAAAAGGTCCTCATTTGAGAAATAATCCATGCAATGTGGTAGTATAATTCACAAGTAGGCAGGTCACATGCTGTAGCCATCCAATTCCCTTATGCATCTTGTTTGTTTAACACCTCACTCTGCAATATCCCCATCTTCCCGAGGAAAGAGAGTTAACTTACTATAAAAGTCCAGTTTCCACCCTTGCTGAAGTAGGCTGGTATTATGGAGTTACATTTTGGCTGGACTAACGAGTCTATGCATAGTCCAATCAAAATCGCACACCGAAATTGAAATCCAGTTCGGAAACTGTTGTGCAGATTTCGATCGATTGCAGGATTTGCAAAGCATGTTCACCGCCAACTCGTTGTAAGCAGATATTTTCCAAATCTTTTCATGTTTTTAATCACGTGATTTGATACATTTTGCGATGTAAGACCTGTTTTATCACAATATAGATCTTGATTATTGATCAGATCGTCATGACTGGGCACCACCATTTCGTGTGAAGCAAACGCAAGTGATACGAGAGGTGGTATCTGCTTGGTCCATAGGAGAGACTTAGAAGGGACATAACTGGTAATAGCCACTGGTGGCGCTACGATCGAGCCAAGTAATTCCTGCCTAGTTTGGCAAAGGTGGAAACTGGACTTTCAAAGTCAGTTAACTCTCTTGCCTCGGGAAGATGCAATATTTCAGCCACATACAGTGGCCTGTAATTAATCGAGTCGAGTACAGATAATCAAGTAGCTGACATCATGAGCATCGATCTACGCAATAGGAATACGATGACATGCATCAACCAAGTCAGCGAGCCTGACCACCTGATCCCATTCTTATGACAAGCATGGGTTGTGAAGACCAATTCTGACCCGGATATTCACAGATGCACGATGTACTGAGAACCGATGACTATTCTTACATTTTTGGGAATCTTGTGTCCTCCCAATTCTGAATCAAAGTCTTGAAACCTGGCAGCCCAGGGAGCGACAACAGCACATCTGAGTGTCTCGTCAATCACCTGTCGAAGATACCTGTCCCGAGGAAACATGAAACAACACTTTGCATCAGCTGTTATTTTATATAACATTTACGGCCTTAATCAAAATACACCAAGCCACTGTACCAAAGGTACTGAAGCTCACCTTTATTTGATAATGAATAACTTGAGTGAGTAAGTGAGTGAGTTGGGTTTAACACCGCTTTAAACAGTATTCCAGTTATATCACAGCATGTCAGCTTAATGTGGGAGGAAAGCCCGAAGTGATGCAGTTCTCAGACATTTACCACCTCAGTGAAAGCCACAAGCACGGGTATGGTGCTGACAAACCTAGAAACATAATGTATAACTTGAGTGAGTGAGTGAGTTGGGTTTAACACCGCTTTAAACAGTATTCCAGTTATATCACGGCATGTCAGCTTAATGTGGGAGGAAAGCCCGAAGTGATGCAGGTCTCAGACATTTACCACCTCGGTGAAAGCCACAAGCACGGGTATGGTGCTGACAAACCTAGAAACATAATGTATAACTTGAGTGAGTGAGTGAGTTGGGTTTAACACCGCTTTAAACAGTATTCCAGTTATATCACGGCATGTCAGCTTAATGTGGGAGGAAAGCCCGAGGTGATGCAGGTCTCAGACATTTACCACCTCGGTGAAAGCCACAAGCACGGGTATGGTGCTGACAAACCTAGAAACATAATGTATAACTTGAGTGAGTGAGTGAGTTGGGTTTAACACCGCTTTAAACAGTATTCCAGTTATATCACGGCATGTCAGCTTAATGTGGGAGGAAAGCCCGAGGTGATGCAGGTCTCAGATGTTTACCACCTCAGTGAAACCCACAAGCACGGGTATGGTGCTGGCAAACCTAGAAACATCATCTGGGTGAACCGGGATTCGAACCCACAATCATAGGTTTCTGCACAGCGAAATGCAGACACCCATGCCCTATATAACTTGAGTGATGAGGTTAAGATGCTCATTATGCACATGTTACATACATTTAATTCATATAGTCAATACATTTCTGATTTATCTTGAAAATAAAATAAATGTCTTGTAAACGAACAGGTGAGAACAAACTGAGTTAATGCAAAGATGAAATTTGAGATAAAACGTCACTTGACATGATGATTTACTATTTAAATTGTAGTTCAAGTTCTACTAGGCAATGATTTATATGCATAGATATTTCAGGTCATTGAGACTGGGCTTACACTTCAGGTCATTGAGATTGTAATGCACAAAACTACTTCAGGTCATTGAGATTGTGGGCTCACACCTACTTCAGGTCATTGAGATTGTAGGCTTACACTTTCTTCAGGTCATTGATATTGTAGGCTTACACTTTCTTCAGGTCATTAAGATGGTGGGCTCACACTTACTCACGTCATTGAGATTGTGGTGCACACATCTACTTCAGGTAATTGAGATGGTGGGCTCACACTTACTCACGTCATTGCAATTGTGGTGCACACATCTACTTCAGGTCATTGAAATGGTGGGCTCACACTTACGTCATTGAGATTGTGGTGCACACATCTACTTCAGGTCATTGAGACTATGGGCTCACACTTACTTCAGGTCATTGAGATTGTAGGCTCACTTACTTCAGGTCATTGAGATTGTGGGCTCACACTTACTTCAGGTCATTGAGATTGTGGTGCACACATCTACTTCAGGTCATTGAGACTATGGGCTCACACTTACTTCAGGGCATTGAGATTGTAGGCTCACACTTACTTCAGGTCATTGAGATTGTCTGCTCACACTTACTTCAGGTTATTGAGATTGTCTGCTTACACTTACTTCAGGTCATTGAGATTGTCTGCTTACACTTACTTCAGGTCATTGAGATTGTCTGCTTACACTTACTTCAGGTCATTGAGATTGTGATGCTCCACTGTGTCGTCTTGACCCAGAACTTTGATAACCTCCTTAAATACCTTCTCCTGGATGTCTTGGTGGGTTGCCAAAAAGTAGAAGGCCCAGGTTAACACTGAAACAACACGCACATCACTGTCAGACCCAGGTTAACACTGAAACAACACGCACATCACTGTCAGACCCAGGTTAACACTGAAACAACACGCACATCACTGTCAGACCCAGGTTAACACTCAAACAACAAGCACATCACTGTCAGACCCAGGTTAACACTGAAACAACACGCACATAACTGTCAGACCCAGGTTAACACTGAAACAACACGCACATCACTGTCAGACCCAGGTTAACACTGAAACAACACGCACATCACTGTCAGACCCAGGTTAACACTGAAACAACACGAACATCACTGTCAGACCCAGGTTAACACTGAAACAACACGCACATCACTGTCAGACCCAGGTTAACACTGAAACAACACACACATCACTGTCAGACCCAGGTTAACACTGAAACAACACGCACATCACTGTCAGACCCAGGTTAACACTGAAACAACACACACATCACTGTCAGACCCAGGTTAACACTGAAACAACACACACATCACTGTCAGACCCAGGTTAACACTAAAACAACACGCACATCACTGTCAGACCCAGGTTAACACTAAAAATCACACACATCAGTGTCACATGACAGACCCGGTCGTGTTGAACCCGCAGCAAGGTATCGAGTCAACTTACTCTTACCCGGTCGTGGGGAACCCCCCAACAATGAATGTGAGACAAATTTCAGTTGCCAGTCGTGGGGAACCCCCGAGAAGGTAAGCCCCCAAGAGTGAGTGAGTGAGCCGGGTTTAACGCCACTTTTAACAGTATTCCCTCCCAAGAGTGAGTGAGTATGGTTTTACATAACTTTTAGCAATATTCCAGCAATAGCACGGCGGGGGACACCAGAAATGGGCTTCACACATTGTACACGTTGGGAATCAAACCCGGGTCTTCGGCGTGACGAGTGAACACTTTAACCACAAGACTGCCCCAAGAAGGTATGTGAGACAACTCACAGTTGCCAGTCGTGAGTAACCCCCAACAAGGTACATGATAGAACTTACAGTTGCCAGTTGTGTGGAACGCCCAACAAGGTACGTGATAGAACTTACAGTTGCCAGTCGTGTGGAAACCCCAACCAGGTACGTGATAGAACTTACAGTTGCCAGTCGTGTGGAAACCCCAACCAGGTACGTGATAGAACTCACAGTTGCCAGTCGTGTGTAACCCCCAACAAGGTACGTGATAGAACTCACAGTTGCCAGTCGTGTGTAACCCCCAACAAGGTACATGATAGAACTTACAGTTGCCAGTTGTGTGGAACGCCCAACCAGGTACGTGATAGAACTTACAGTTGCCACTCGTGTGGAAACCCCAACCAGGTACGTGATAGAACTCACAGTTGCCAGTCGTGTGTAACCCCCAACAAGGTACATGATAGAACTTACAGTTGCCAGTTGTGTGGAAACCCCCAAAAGGTTCGTGATAGAACTCACAGTTGCCAGTCGTGTGGAACCCCCAACAAGGTACATGATAGAACTGACAGTTGCCAGTCGTGTGGAAACCCCAAAAAGGTTTGTGATAGAACTCACAGTTGCCAGTCGTGTGGAACCCCCAACAAGGTACATGATAGAACTTACAGTTGCCGGTCGCGTGGAAGCCCCAACCAGGTACGTGATAGAACTTACAGTTGCCAGTCGTGTGGAAACCCCCAACAAGGTACATGATAGAACTTACAGTTGCCAGTCGTGTGGAAACCCCCAACCAGGTACATGATAGAACTTACAGTTGCCAGTCGTGTGTAACCCCCAACAAGGTACATAAAAGAACTTACAGTTGCCAGTCGTGTGTAACCCCTAACAAGGTACATGATAGAACTTACAGTTGCCAGTCGTGTGTAACCCCCAACAAGGTACATGATAGAACTTACAGTTGCCAGTCGTGTGGAACCCCCAACCAGGTACGTGATAGAACTTTCAGTTGCCAGTCGTGTGCAACCCCCAACAAGGTACGTAATAGAACTTACAGTTGCCAGTCGTGTGTTACCCCTAACAAGGTACATGATAGAACTTACAGTTGCCAGTCGTTTGGAACCCCCAACCAGGTACGTGATAGAACTTACAGTTGCCAGTCGTGTGGAACCCCTAACAAGGTACATGATAGAACTTACAGTTGCCAGTCGTGTGGAACCCCCAACCAGGTACATGATAGAACTTACAGTTGCCAGTCGTTTGGAACCCCCAACCAGGTACATGATAGAACTTACAGTTGCCAGTCGTGTGGAACCCCCAACAAGGTACATAATAGAACTTACAGTTGCCAGTCGTTGGGAACCCCCAACCAGGTACATGATAGAACTTACAGTTGCCAGTCGTGTGGAACCCCCAACAAGGTACATAATAGAACTTACAGTTGCCAGTCGTTGGGAACCCCCAACCAGGTACATGATAGAACTTACAGTTGCCAGTCGTGTGGAACCCCTAACAAGGTACATAATAGAACTTACAGTTGCCAGTCGTTGGGAACCCCCAACCAGGTACATGATAGAACTTACAGTTGCCAGTCGTGTGGAACCCCCAACCAGGTACGTGATAGAACTTACAGTTGCCAGTCGTGTGGAACCCCCAACAAGGTACATAATAGAACTTACAGTTGCCAGTCGTGTGTAACCCCTAACAAGGTACATGATAGAACTTACAGTTGCCAGTCGTGTGGAACCCCTAACAAGGTACATGATAGAACTTACAGTTGCCAGTCGTGTGGAACCCCAAACCAGGTACATGATAGTGAGTGAGTGAGTGAGTGAGTATGGTTTTACGCCGCTTTTAACAATATTCCAGCAATATCACGGCGGGGGACACCAGAAATAGGCTTCACACATTGTACCCATGTCGGGAATCGAACCCGGGTCTTCGGCGTGACGAGCGAACGCTTTAACCACTAGGCTACCCAACCGCCCCAGGTACATGATAGAACTTACAGTTGCCAGTCGTGTGGAACCCCCAACCAGGTACATGATAGAACTTACAGTTGCCAGTCGTGTGCAACCCCCAACAAGGTACATGATAGAACTTACAGTTGCCAGTCTTGTGGAACCCCTAACAAGGTACATAATAGAACTTACAGTTGCCAGTCGTTGGGAACCCCCAACCAGGTACATGATAGAACTTACAGTTGCCAGTCGTGTGGCACCCCCAACAAGGTACATAATAGAACTTACAGTTGCCAGTCGTTGGGAACCCCCAACCAGGTACATGATAGAACTTACAGTTGCCAGTCGTGTGGAACCCCTAACAAGGTACATAATAGAACTTACAGTTGCCAGTCGTTGGGAACCCCCAACCAGGTACATGATAGAACTTACAGTTGCCAGTCGTGTGGAAACCCCCAACCAAGTACATGATAGAACTTACAGTTGCCAGTCGTGTGGAAACCCCCAACCAAGTACGTGAGGCAGTCACTGTGGCCAACGTCTATATCCGTGTGATGGTCTAGGATGCGGTCTATCAGGAGGTGCTCCTCTGACTTGCTGCCATGCTTCTTCCGATGTTCCACGGACTTCATGACACTATCGATGACCTTCTTCCTGGCTGATGGAGAAACACCAAGGAAACACCAAGCAGGATATACAACATGTACACATGATTGTTGTTTGATGATATTCAGTGGATTTATTTAGACGTTTAGATTTAGACGTTTAGATTTAGAGTTAGATAAGACAATGCTAAACCAACACTGTATATATTTCAGAGGTTTCAAAGAACGATTTGTTACCCGTAAAAAACGTAAAAGACTGAATTCTTGCTACACTATTACACAGCAGGAAGTACTTCCTTACACAAAATTCAACACAGTCCAAAATCCTAAACTCTATTACTGCCTATGTTTCCATAGTTACAATTTTGAGTCCAATGACGCAAGCAACACTGCTATTCTAAAAGTGACATTGTCTACAATCTTATACTTGTACACGTTCTATCTTTACTACCAACAGTAATAACTACCCAAAATCGATCCATAGTTCATAAGTCAATATTGCCTACAATTTTTAAATCAACACTGTTAACAATCTTACAATCAAAACGGACTACAATCATCTAATCAAAACGGACTGCAACATTACAAGTCTTTGAAAGGTATTTAGAAGTGATACACATAAGGAAGAGATTTTATGGATGTCAACTTCTTTATTATGAGGAACACAACATTTCGGAGTATCCTTCTTTAGACGAATGCGTAAACATGTACTCCGAAACGTTGTGTAAAAGATCTGTAAATTCTCTTCCTTACAACACTACAATCAATACTGCCTACAACCTTAGTGTCAATACTGCCAACAATCATACAATCAATACTGCCTACAACCTTACTGTCAATACTGCCTACAATCACACAATCAATACTGCCTGCAACCTTACCATGCTTACTGTCAATACTGCCTACAATCATACAATCAATACTGCCCACAATCATACAATCAATACTGCCAACAATCTTACAATCAATACTGCCAACAATCTTACAATCAATACTGCCTACAATCATACAATCAATACTACCTACAATCACACAATCAATACTGCCTACAACCTTACTGTCAATACTGCCAACAATCTTACAATCAATACTGCCAACAACCTTACTGTCAATACTGCCTACAATCATATAATCAATACTACCTACAATCACACAATCAATACTGCCTACAATCATACAATCAATACTGCCAACAATCTTACAATCAATACTGCCAACAATCATATAATCAATACTACCTACAATCACACAATCAATACTGCCAACAATCATACAATCAATACTGCCAACAATCTTACAATCAATACTGCCAACAATCTTACAATCAATACTGCCTACAATCATACAATCAATACTACCTACAATCACACAATCAATACTGCCTACAACCTTACTGTCAATACTGCCAACAATCTTACAATCAATACTGCCAACAACCTTACTGTCAATACTGCCTACAATCATATAATCAATACTACCTACAATCACACAATCAATACTGCCTACAATCATACAATCAATACTGCCAACAATCTTACAATCAATACTGCCAACAATCATATAATCAATACTACCTACAATCACACAATCAATACTGCCAACAATCATACAATCAATACTGCCAACAATCTTACAATCAATACTGCCTACAATCATTTAATCAATACTACCTACAATCACACAATCAATACTGCCTACAATCATACAATCAATACTGCCTACAATTTTACAATTAATGCTGCCTACAATCATACAATCAATACTGCCTGCAATCTTACAATCAATACTGCCCACACTCAAGACTGCCTTTTATCTTATAATCAATATTGCCAACAATGAATATTTCTTACAATCATTACTGCCTACAATCTTACTATCAATACTGCCTACAACCTTACAATCAGTTCTACCTATAATCTTACAATTAATACTGCCTACAATCATACTATCAATACTGCCTACAACCTTACAATCAGTTCTACCTATAATCTTACAATTAATACTGCTTACAATCGTACTATCAATACTGCCTACAAATTTATAATCAATTCTACCAATAATCTTAAATTAATACTGCCTATAATCGTACTATCAATACTGCCTACAATCATAAAATGAATACCGCCTACTATCTTACAGTCAGTACAACCTACAATAAAAACTGCCTACAAATCTTACAATCAATACCGTCTCAAATCGATACTGCCTATAATCTTACAATTAATACTGCCTACAATTGTACAATCAATACTGCCTTCAACCAATACTGCCTACACTCCAACAATCAATACTGCCTACACTCCAACAATCAATACTGCCTACTCCACCAATCAATACTGCCTACTCCAACAATCAATACTGCTTACTCCAAAAATCATTACTGCTTACTCCAAAAATCATTACTGCCTACTCCAAAAATCAATACTGCCTTCAACCAATACTGCCTACTCCAACAACCAATACTGCCTACTCCAACAACCAATACTGCCTACTCCAACAATCAATACTGCCTACTCCAACAATCAATACTGCCTACTCCAACAATCAATACTGCCTACTCCAACAATCAATACTGCCTAATAAAACAATCAATACTGCCTACTCCAACAATCAATACTGCCTACTCCAACAATCAATACTGCCTACTCCAACAATCAATACTGCCTACTCCAACAATCAATACTGCCTACTCCAACAATCAATACTGCCTAATAAAACAATCAATACTGCCTACTCCAACAATCAATACTGCCTACTCCAACAATCAATACTGCCCCCAACTTACATTCACTGAATGTTTTAGCCCTGGGACTATCATCATCGGGAATGGTAGGATCGGCCAGCCGGTGTTCCATTTCAGACCACACCTACAACAAAAGTTAACAGCAAACAATGATATTATACCCATTATCAAATCACAGGCAATGACAACCATTTCTGGAATCCTTTTCAGAAAATAAGGCAGCGTTTGAAATTCCTTGTGTTATAGTAACAGTGTCTCAGTTAAAAGTGAAATGTTAATATAGTGAGTGAGTGAGTTGGGTTTAATGCCGCTTTTAACATTATTCCAGTTATATCACGGCGTGTCAGCTTATGTGGGAGGAAAGCCCGAAGTGATGCAGGTCTCAGACGTTTACCACTTCGGTGAAACCCACGAGCACGGGTATGGTGCTGACAAACCTAGAAACATAATCCGGGCAAACTGGGATTCAAACCCACAATCAAAGGTTTGTGGCTTGCCAATGGGATGCAACTCTGCAATTGCGGCAACTGGGCCACCCGTGCTCCCAAACTAAACCTTTGTATTCAATAATTGAATAAGATGTTATCAATGTCAATGATGAGGCAGGAAGCAAACGTTCTAGATCACAGCTGCTTATTATGATTTTGATTATATGGCTGATTGTCAAATGTTTGATAACTTACACACCATTTCAACATGTTCAAAGTCTTATTACTGTATTCGACGTTATAAGCGCCCGACTCTAATAAGCGCCCACGGCGATATTTGCTAATATATTGGCTAGTGAACAATCCCAATTAGCACCCCTTTCCCGATTGATCAATGTACACAGGACTTATTTATTCACGTATAATATGCACTTTTGTGTTCTATGCACCCTTAATTATGGGCAATTAAATTCTGGGAAAATGTATCTCTCGTATATAAACATTTCAGGCTGTCAGCATAAACCACAAAATTTATCTTTCAACTCTGTTTTTTTTCCACAAAAATAATATTCTAATAAGAGCCCCCTATTTCTAATTTTGAGAGCGCCCTGGGCGCTTATTACGTCGAATATGGTTAGTGGTTTCTTTCCTTATTTACCAAGTCATAGTGGGTCTTGAAAGACAAAATTTCTTTATCATTTTCAAAGCAATCCCCAAGAAGTGTTATCAAAGCTGCCTTGATAGAGAAGGCAAACATGTACTGGCCCAGTGGGATGTGCTCTTCCTTGACCATTGAGGACCACTTGTTGACAAGGCCATCAGTCACCTGAAACAGAAGAGTGGAGTGGAGCGGAGTGGAGTGGAGTGGAGTGGAGTGGAGTGGAGTGGAGTGGAGTGGAGTGGAGTGTTGTGGAGTGGAGAGGCAATTTGGAATTACGTCTCAACTCACCTAAGCATGATAAGTTAAGACTAAAGTATGGGAGTTATGTCTTAACACTACTACTGTCATAAGTCTAGGCTAAAGTATAGGAGTTACTTATTAACACGTAATAAAGTAAGCCACAAGTTGAACTTCAAACAATAATATATCATTCCAGTAACAAATATCGCTGTGCCAGCTTTCAAACGAAACCACAGACATAATCCATTTCATTCAATTTTATTCGACTTTTCATTCATTCATTAATTTTTGTGAATATATGTGTGAACTTCTCAGGCCAGATCGCACCAGCTCACCCTAATTCACAGCAACCACGACCAGATTACCGCTACTGACGCCTTTAAAAGAACTTTAGTTGACAGAGAATGGATACATATATACTACTCAAAATTTGCTAAGGATCACCCCTTTAAAAGGCAATAAGTCAAACTGTGTGCACCTGTTGAAATAGCCAAAGACAATATTGAATGAAGACATGTTTAATGATCAAAAGTGTGTTGTCATGTGCCAATTAAATTTGTGATATGTCAGTCAACGTAAACTTGGTGGCACAGGTAACAAAACTACTATGCACGCAGGCCCCTTACGGAATTATTGGATGCGGCATTTATTAAAATAATGTGTGAATTGCGGATGGCGTAAGACCTTCCCATTCACAAGTAAAGCATTAGTAAAGATTACCTGAAAAACTCCTTTTTTCGGAAACCTGG